GTTTGATCCCCAAATAGTAATAATAATAATAACTTTATTTGTATAGCACTTATTTAAACAAGGTTGCTTAAAAAAAAAAAGTCATGGCAAAAAGATAAAAGAAGTCAAATAAAAGGTGTTCAATTCAGGTCCATTTTAAGGGCCAAATGATGACATAATAAGGTCAAGACCTTCAAATTTATAGAGAAATCCAACAGTTCCCACAAAAACCACAGGTTTTCACTGCCGGCTCATTATTTAGCAGAGTCTGTCGTCCTTCCAAGATCCAGTGAATCATATTAACTGTTCATCTCTGTGGAAGTGACATCGCTTGACATCAACAAAAACAACAAACTTTTCCCAAGGAGCATGTTTGAGCAGCGAGGCCTTTCGAGGTCGTGTATTGACAGATATGTCGATGTTTCGTGTTCCTCCGTGTTTGACTTGCATGCGGTCGGTGTTGGGCTGTGCCGCCGCACATAATGACAAATGTTTGCGCCCAGATCCTTCGACAAACATCAGAGGAATAGTTTCTGTCTCCTCTTGTTTGACAGCTGAGGCATATTAGCACGGGGACAGCTGATTTACAATGCCGACGATAACACACTGCAGTCGCACTTCAAACAAAGAGGCCACAGACACTGATCCAGTGACTCGGGCAGTTTTAACCCAGGACAGCTGCTGGAGGATCATGTAGGGGACACACTGAAGGCCTCATGCTGGACATCAGGTAACACTGACAGGTGAGGAACAAGTTTTAAAGAACCTGAAGGAGTTTATCTTTATAACATTCATTATTCAAAGGTTTAAAGTTAAAAAAAAAAATTCTTCCATCGTATAAATAAGATTTACGCTGACTCTGCTACAGCCCTGCTTCTCCAGGACTGTGGGGGTGTGGTTGAATCCAACTTGACTGACAATGGCATCTCCATGGAAACGCAGGCAACAACACTAAACAAAACAGTCAGGCTGAGCCCGAAAACAGTCGCTTTTTACAGTGTACACTTAAATGACTTCATTTCTTTCTTTTTTTTTAACAAGATTGTCTAAATCCTCAGGGTGAGATGTACGCAACATGAAAGACATAAAACACAATGACAAAAATGTTACTGCTTACATGGAGTAAATTACTTTATACCAGGCATAACTATATAGATATATGTCTCACTAGAGTCTCACTCGGTGGAGCGCATACCTCCGCCAAGGCCAAGCAGTCTCCTCAAAATCAATCAAACTGCACCAGATTGCACAAACTCATAAATATCTGTTCATTTAATGCATCAGATTTTACAGTGGTTTGTGTGAAAACACAAGGGCAGACAGAAAATGCGCTGACAGCCACATTGTTGAACTTGTGCAGGAATTGCGTTTTATCTCTCGTTGGGCATCTCTGTAAATAAGGAGCCTTTGCACGGTTTAGAATAACAAGTCCAGTGCAGTGCAAAGCAGGGCCTTGAAAAAGAGCCCAGGGAGATATGCACATGTTATCAAAAGCACATTTTGAGCAAAAGACAAACATAAAGGACATGATTTAACATGCTGAGTGCTAGTTCATTACTCTGGAAAGTGACCTGTAATAATGCAAAGAATATGGAATCCCTCTCTCCCTCCATTAAGGGATCCATTGTGCAGCGTGCTGTCATTTACAGTGGCATTTTCAAATGTCACATATCCTTGAGGCACAGGATGTGACTTGACAATGTGGTAAGTGCAGACAGATGCATTTTTTTTTTTTTTTTTTTTTGCAGCACCTGACCACTCTACAATTTCCAGGCATTGACAAATGATTCACCTCTATTGGTTTCTTTGTAAACTGTCTGTTGGACATTAAAAGTAAAAGGAACTTTAAAGTGGCACAACTTGTGTTTTTTACATATCTGCTTTCCAGAGTGACATCATCGCCATGACTTCTGATTGTCAGTTGACGGGTGATGGTTGCAGGTTTCATAACAACACAGCAACCGATGAAGCCACAGGAGGCATTCCTCACTGTCATATACAAGCTTCATGTGTCAGTCTGCACAGTCAACTCTTCTGTTTGGGCCTGGGGTGCATGTAGACTCTTACAAAATGACAGGAGTGTAACTATCACAGTGGACGTTTCTTGATATACATGCTGTTTGTGTGAGTGACAAGCACAATGAAAATGGGAAAATGTGAATTTCAATGGATGATTAAATATATTTTACAACTACAGGTAAATAAGATGTGATTATGCATAATGATATAACAATATCATAAGAAAACCTCACAGCCGAAGTAGAATGTCACTTAATAGAGTCCATACCTCCACCAGGCTCAACAGTCCCCTCATGAAACCACATTTAAATTCCCTAGATCCAGATTTTTTATTTGGATCTGCACCAAATTGCACACACATATATTAGTCCCTTTAACATGCCTGACGCCTTTCAAGATTTTGTATTAGAAATCCCTGAAAAAGTTGAATACACCCAATCTTGCCATGTTAAAGAGAGTGAAAAAATATTCCTGGATCTGCCCCCCCTGACTTGGATCCACACCAAAATTTTATGGATTCTTTTTTGACCCATACCAATCCTTCCATCCGAGTTTTGGTATAATCAGTCCAGTATTTTTATGCATAATCCTGCTAACTATCAGACAAACAAACAAATAAAACCAACAAAAACATAACCTCCTTGGGGAAGCTAATAGACCACACTGTGTCACTGTACCTTTTAAACATCACATATGTCTGCTGGTTCAGTGCCAAACAAATATTAACCTGTCACTTTAAACTGTTGCTGTTTGAATAAAAACTTTGAATCTGTGTAAGGGAAACTGCTCATCTAAAGAATGAACCCAGCCCCCTTTAGGAAAAATATCTCTTCTGAAAGAAAATGACCTGGAATATGATCATCTGTTCATGTGTTTGTGGTTCCTGCTTTGCACAGTAGCTACTCCCCCTGGGTGGAATGAGAGAGGTTGGCGACTCTGACATGAGATAAGAAGGAGGGACGTGCGGCACAGCCACATCTCACTTAGTTCATGCCAGGTCACAGTGTGTGGGACCCACAAATCCCTCAGATCAAGGAGGTGTGAGGTAATCAGCATGAGTAAGAATTGCATACAGTAAATCACATGTCTCTAACCTCACGATGGAAAAAAGAAAAACATAACACACTCTTGAGTTTCATTCTGAGTTTCTTCCAAATGATATTACAATAACACATCTCCACACGGTAGTCGACATAAACGTTTGTTCACAGCAGCTCTGGATGAAATCATGCAAAAACCTACAAAACACACATTTGTCTATGTATCACAGCATAGTTTATTAATAGTAAATGAATCGTTGCATATACAACTTCCTTCATAATGTATTTGTTGCTCTTATGAGTGGGTGTGCGTGTACATGTGTGTGGCCATGTGGTAGGAAGTGTACGTGTGTGAAGGCAGCTGGCCAAACATCTTCTCTACAATGCCTGAGAGAATTACAGTAACTCCGAGTGGATTCTTTTACTGAGATGGAGGCTACTCATATGATTAGACTGTTTTAAACAAATATAGAGACAAATGCAGAATCCAATATTTACAAAGGGAAGCAGCTTTTCTTAGCATTTTCACTTCTTATTTTGTCCAATATTAAAATAGAATCACAAACAAAACTGAACTCAAAACTGTTTTAATAGTTTAAACCCAACTAGTTGTTTGAGAAACTTTTGGAAATGTTTTATTTTTAATTACTGATTAATTGACTCTAGCCCAAAGTGACCTGGGATTGTCACCAGCCCATCAACAGATAAGATGGATAGAGGATGGGTGGATGGATCGTATAAAACATTATATGGTTACATACTAACACCCCTCACTGACGCAACACACACACACACACACACACACACACACACACTTCATGTCATTGATTTTACTTCACATGCAGACACACATCACCTAAAGTGATATTGTGTACTCTGCTGCCCTCTTGTGAATATTTAGGCATAAACTGTCATTGATATGCCAGTACATGATACTACTAAAAGAAGTATTACACATTGACAGCCTTTAAATACACCTAAAAGAACTGTTGATTTTATTGCACTTTTATTTTGCCTAGAATATTTCAAATGTGTATAGAATTGTATTTGATTATATTTTCCATGGCATTGCTCTTATTACAAAACTCAACACTTCTCATTGGACTGTTGATGATGTGTTGACTTACACAAGACCAATAAAACAGAAAATACTCAAAGAACCTCACCAGAGAATGATTATTTGAGAAAATAATTTGTTACAGCTCTAATATGCATCTGTATTTTTTTGCCAAGTTAGTGTTACAGTACAAAAAACTGCTGTAATTATGTTCGCACTTGGTTGCTGATGGGAAAACCGACATTTTCCCTCAGTTTCACACATAAATCAACAAGTTTTATTCTTTGAAGAAACACACACACCTCTCCACCACACCTGCAAAACTACAATGTTGGAAGAACCCAACCAACATTGTCTCCTGCTGTTTGTTATCAACAGTATATTCTAAATATCAAAGGTCATAGTAAAAGGAGGAGTCCCACGAGAAGAGTGCAAGCACTGAGTGGCCAGACTCAAAACAGACCAGTGGTTCAGGACAAGAAGACACTGACTGTTAAGACACTGTGGGGACACAATTCTTGATAATGTAAATTAATAATGATATTAAAGTTCCATCGCTCAGACCTAATACCAACTATAATTCAACGCTGTGGGGACACAATTCTTCAAAGTGTAAATGAATAATAATAATAATAATAATAATGATATTTTTACCTGTAATATAGGTCTACCTGTTGTTGAATCTCTCACTGTGCAAACTGTTTGTCCACATTATTGTTGTAATTATGTGTCAGTACAATGTCAGTCCAGTGGGTCAGTGGTGCAGTGGTCCAGTGGTGCAGTGGTCCAGTGGTTGTTCTGGGGGTCAGAGCACCACTGTGTGTGGACGGAGCCCGGCTGAGGTCCGTGGCTGAGGCGGCCTCTGTGCGGCTGTTGCTGGGAGCTCCGGCCAATCAAAGCCGCAGCGCTGCCGTACAAGTCGTTAGTGGGTTGGAGAAGCATGACATCATGCCCAGCTCCAGCCTCCCTGCGAAAACAAAGCGTGAAACATCCACATCCCACTACAGCGACTCACCGTCCACCACCCGGCCGTCTGCACCGTGACACCCCGCGGCCCCGTCCCTGAGATTCACACCGGGTGACCGGTGGAGTCTGAGAGGGGGCATCCTTCCGTCCGTCAGTCCGGCGGTGCATGCGTCTGTCCGGGGGAATGGCGGATGGAGAGGCCGCCGTGTCTGTGGTGGAGTGGGACAGCGGTGCGGTGATGGGGGTCTAACCGAAAAACGTCCCTCCTCTGCGGCTTTCATTCCTCTGCTCGGCTCGGTATTCAGCTGCGGACATGGATCCTGAGAAGAAGTTGACATTCTGCCTCGGGGTGAAGGCTGAGGAGGTAAAACACACAAACACACACGCACACTGCTGTCAACAGCTGGGCTTCAGTGACTCTGCAGAGCAACACGCTTTTTATCTCCTGTTGTTGTTGTTGCATTCGTCTTCTGTCTTTTCCTTCCTCCATCTCTTCACCTGTCTCATGTCTCAGCGATAGTTGCATATTTGCTCCACTGCAGTGAAATGGTTGGTGTTGAGTGAAGTCAGTCATTTGTTTGCTTGTAGTCAGTGGAAAGAAAGACAGTCTGTGATGGTGGGGTCAATGGAACAACATCTAATTATAGGCCAGTGTTGAGGTTTCCCCTGCAAGAGGGACTCACTGTGCAGGACAAGAATGAGTGCGTGATTTGAAATGATTATGGTGCTATAGTTTTGGTTTTGGTTCAGGGCAGAGGTTTGGGTTGAGCAGGCCTCCACATGGTTCCAGGCAGCTGGATGCACTGGGTTTCCAAACTGTGAAAGTAGACTACAGACAAAGGCTGCAAGTGATTGTGAAATTATTTCTAATGCAGACACAAAACAAAACTGAGTCTGACATGAAATCTGATAATGATTTGAGTCAAAGTCGCTCCATTGGCACAACAGTGTGTAATATAAGACTAGAAATGCAATCAGAGTATAAGAATTTATAAAGTCAGAAATAACTGGCCAACATATTACTACAGAGAATAACAGTGTATAATCAGAGAAAAACAGATCAATCAACAAATATTATATCGTTGAACAACTCAGTTAACATGGATGATGAGAACTGTAGATTTTGACAAAGGTCAATATTCTCATGTGTCTAATTGTTGTTGGCCATTAAAAAAATATTTAGTTGCTTCCGTGGAAATATCATTTGTTCCTCAATATTCACTTTTGTTCTGAGCGTGCAAGATTTTTTTTTAAAGAAGTCGCTTCTTATGTTGTCTGAGGCCCTGTTCACACCCTGGTTTAACATCCGTCCTGAGGGATCAGACCCGAGCCGTCCGTTTGGGATTGGATCACCTGTGACGAATGTTTACACCAGCAGGTCTGAACAGGACCATACAGGAAGCATAGGGGAAGAAAGTGTTCCTGTTTTTTATGAATTCAGTCTGACAGAGCCTGTTCTGACATCGTATTAACATCCTTCATGTTCACAGAACAGATCACAGATATACACTTCAGTTTTATGGTTTTAACATCCTTGTACATTAACTTGACTCCATTGCATCAAATCGAGTTTTCTGTGCTGGCGGTCACCTTCCTGTCTCTAACTTCCAGATGGTGACCTTTCACTAAATACTGTTTCTGTGGCAGTTTACAGAATTTTACACATACATCCTGTCAGCAGCCTCCCCATTTTTCCTTTCGTGACATTAGTTGCAGAGCTGTCGAGACCTGTGGGACCTCAGAGGTGGAAATCATTCATGGTTAGTCGGTGGTCTCTGCGGAAGCCGGAATGATCTCCTGAATGATCTCCTCACTCTCGTGTATGTACTCAGTGCTGTGTGGTGGGTTTACCACAGGAACTCAGCTTGACATTGATGCCTGAATATTTCCTCTCATGACTCTGACTTTCATAACAGTACAGAAACTCAGTGTTGAAGTACCCAAGGTTATGTTTGATGGTTTGTTTGATTTCTTGCGCTTTGCTATTGCACAGTATCGTGTGGTCTGCAAATGTCAGGGACACAGTTTACGGGATCTCTTCTTTAAGGTTATGTTTTCATTGCAATTAGTTTTTCTCCAGAATTACACAAAAACTACTGAATAGATTTCCATGAAACTCAGTGGAAGGATGTTTTGTGAGATTTGATAGTCTTTTCAACATTTTCATTGATTTCTCAGGGAATGATTCAGGGATCTGGATGTAAAATTCTGTCATGTTGAGGGGATATTTATGAGTGTGTGCAGTTTGGTGCAGATCCAAATAAAGAATTTAAATGTGTTCTCATAAGGGGACAATTGGACCTTGAGT